TGTCTGGTAGCTCTTTTTGCTCTATCGTTGCTCCTTTTTCAGAGTATCTTGTTCATATCTTGTAGCTATAATATGTTCTGAATTCCATATTAATTGGGGTGCTCCTTTAAAATCTTTTATTTATGCTTCCTTGCCTTCTTTAGAGTTAGTTTTTCTATGTTTTTCTTTGTATTTTTCTCTCATGATGCTCATTTTCCTTATTTGCCTGTTAATTCTTCATTGTTCATATATATGTGTGTATACATATATAATTGGTAGTTGATACAGTTTTCCTTTTCCTTTTGTAGGTAAGAGGTCTGACAGTTCTCTCTCTTTCTTGTGTAGGAATTGTGAATATGTGGCTGGGTTAGGTAGGACAGGGCCAGGAATGCCAAATATGAAGTTTCACTTTAGATGAGTAAGCAATTAGCTTGTTCTCAGGATGCTGGCCCTGAATGCTAGAATGAGAATATTTTTCCTCTGCGTCATCAACCTAAAAGTTTTCACTTTTCTGTACTATTTATTCAATTAATTTGGAGAAGATTTGGGGGGTCATTTTTGGTCTTTGTTTTTATCTGGATGCAGATATTAATATCTTTTGCTTCCTCTCAGTGTATATGGATGAGAAAGGGAAATGTGTGTGGTGATAGATTCAATTGTGCCATATTTTATCCCCATTTTCAGCCCTTATTCTTACTTCTGTCCTATCCTGTGTAGCTTCTCCACTATATTTTTTAGGCTATGGTTTTGGTCAAATCACTACTATTTGCTTTGTATCTCAAGATATTTTTGAAATTTCATTTGCTTTTCCTGACATCATCTACTTTTTTCTACTCACATAAGTGCATGCATACAGGCACACATCATCTTTACTCCTTTACTTATTCTTCATTTTTTCTGTTTCTTCATTTTTATTTCTGTACTGTGTAGGAAAGGATAGTAGGCAAATGATATGCTGAGTTCACCATCTTGAACAGTAATTCAAGAAAATCGTTTATATATTGTAAGCATATATTTTGAAACCTGGGTAAAACATAGTGCAGGATTCTCCAAAGCTGATTGTCCCTTTGCCACATGACCACCTCTACAACATTCTTATTCAAAGGGAAATGAAATTACTTTGGGAGAAGCTCACATTTTTTGAGTTGTTTGGTACTTAAAAAAAATCACCTCATTAGTTAAGAAAGAGGGAAGAAATGGTGGTTGAGGAGGCAAACAACAGTGTCTGCCATGGTAGTAATCTAACTTTTTTCTTTTCTAATATCACTTATTTAAAAGAGTAGGAAAACATTTTAGAATTGAGTCTTTTATTAATCAGCATTCCCCAAAGGTTAAGCATCAGCTTCAGAGAAGGAACTGCACTGGAGTGCAGTAAAGATGGAATATTAAGACTCGGTGTTGCAGGATGAGGTGGGGTGAAAAAGGGCAGGGAAGAACTGACTGACAATAGATACAACAAGAAAGGCCTAGAAGCTGAGGCTACGGCACACTGGTGAGCTAGGCAGACCTAGTGGACACACATCCTGAAGGAGGTACCCAGAGACTGATGGGCTGGAAATGGTTCTGAAACTTGGCAGCCCATCCCCTCAACCCACGAAGTGACAAGTCTGAGAATGAAAGGCTAACATACTAAAGATAATGAAACATAGAAATGAAAAAAGTCAAAAGCGTGAATAATTTTGTTGAGCTACAAAAAATAGCTTGGAAACACTTCCACCTTGAAATTTTCTGTTCTTGAGACAATTTTGAGATAACTAAAGGCACACTTTGCAGAATGATCATGTTACACATATACATAAAACACACACAAACTTATATAATTTTACCTAAATGTGTTCATATTATGTATAGATTGTGTTGCAAGCTATTTCATTCAACTGTACATCTTAGACATATTACTGTATCAAGCAATACAGATTCACATTATGCTTTTTTAATGCCTCGAAATTTAGAGATGTATTACAATTTAATTTAAATCAATCCAATATTGAGCCTTTTTTTGGTATGATACTTTTTTTTTTAAGACAGTGTTTCACTCTGTTACCCAGGCTACAGTACAGGGGTGCGATCATGGCTCACTATAGCCTCGACCTCCCAGCTCAAGTGATCCTCCTGCCTTAGCCTCCTGAGCAGCTGGGACTACAGGTACATGCCACCACACCCAGCTAGTTTTCATATATATATAGATATATATATATATATGGTAGAGAAAGGGTTTTGTCATGTTGCACAGGCTAGTCTCAAACTCCTGGGCTCAAGCAATTCACCTGCTTCAGCCTCCCAAAGTGCTGGGATTACAGCTGTGAGCCACCACACCCAGCCATATGATACATTTATAAATGAAATGTGGAGTTTTGTTTTTCAATTAGAGATGGGGTCTTGCTCTGTTGCCCAGGCTTGAGCTAAATGGCATGATCATAGCTCACTGTAGCCTCAAACTCCTGGCCTCAAGAGAGCCTCCCAATTCAGTCTCCTTAGTAACTAAGACTACAGGTGTGTACCATCAAGTCTGGCTATTTTTTTTTCTATTTTTTGTAGAGATGGGGGTCTTCCTACGTTGCCCAGGCTGCTTTTGAACTTCCGGCTTTAAGTGATCCTCCTGCCTCAGCTTCCCAAAGCACTGGGATTACAGGTGTGAGCCACCGCGCCTAGCCCACTGCAATGAGTTTTAATTGGTTTCCCAGCCATGCACTACTTTCAACCCACCCTACCCAATATTGCCAAAATAATCTCCCAATTCCATTTTGTGACCACCAAACACTGCCTATTATACTCAATTCTTTAAATTTAAAATTGTGTCTCCTTATAGTTTGTTTACATTTTAGCTTTGTCACTAGCTTCTATTAACAATGTTCCATTACAGATAAATAGGTTACTCATTATCTAGAATGCAGTTATAGTCTTGTTTCTTGGCTTTGCTCATGGCATACTTTCTGGACAGTCTCTTTGTCATCAGGGCCCATTCTCCTTAGGCTGTCTTTCCACTAACATTTTGGGAAGCTGAGCCTGATGGCATGTACCTGTAGTCCTAGCTGCCTGGGAGGGTGAAGCAGAAGAATCATTGAGCCCAGGAGTTCAGGGCTGTTGTGCACAATGATCATGCTTGTGAACAGCCAGTGCACTTCAGCTTGTGCAATACAGCAAGACCCCATCTCTTGAAAAAAAAGAAATTGAGGAAACCCCGGGGACTATAAAGAGGACAAAAATAGTTCTTAAGAGTTCAGTGAAGTAAGGCCATGCCTCAGTGTCCACAGGGAATTGGTTCCAGGACACTCCCACATACCAAAACCCCAGGATGCTCAAGTCCTTATACAAAATGGCATAGTATTTGCATATAACCCATGCACATTGTCCCATATACTTTAAACCATGTCTAGGTTACTTATAATACCTAATATAATGGGAAGTGCTATGTAAACAGTTGTTATACCCATATTGTTTAGGAAATAATGACAAGAAAAAAAGAGTCTATGCATGTTCAGTGCAGACATAACCATTCTTCTTCTTTTTTATTTTCTAATTGTTTTTGTTCCAAAGTTGGTTGAGACATACACAGAAGTCATGGATACAGAGGGCTAACTGAATTTCCTTCCAGGCTAGGACTATTTAATAGAAATATGATGCAAGCCCACCTATGTAATTTAAAATTTTCTAGAAGTCACATAAAAAGTAAAAATAAAGTTGAAATTAATTTTAACATATTTTATTTGATCCATTTATATAATTTCAACACGTAATCGACGTAAGAATTACAATATTTTACATTTCTTTTCTAAGTCTTTGAAATCTGGTGTACATTTTGAACTCATTGCATGTCTCAATTTGGACAAGCCACATTTCAAATGTCAACAGACATATTTAACTGGTGGCTACCCTAATGGATAGCGCAGTTCTAGGTAGTGTATTTTCGATTCTTCTCTTCTCCCTTAAGCCTCTGGAACTGTGATGAGAATAATCTGCCATGTGAATTCCTAGCACTTATCAGCACCTCTCATTATCAAGTGGCCTCCTTGCATTATTTATTTTTGTGATGCATTTGTCTTCTCTCATGAACTAACTTGTAAATTCTATGAAGTCCAGGGCCAAAGACACATGCAATCTCAAGATTGGAAATACCTTTAACAAAGCCATCAACTAATTCTTCTGTTGATGTGTGGCTCCCCTGTACCAAGTCCCTATTAAGTGAGCTTCAGAATCTCCCTGAAGCAAAATTCTGTTGTTGAAGTATTCACACATGCTAAGGTAGGAAATTCTTTTTGGGTCGTGCTACAAGGGCATCTTCTTTTCAGGATCTTAAATCTGTTCCCTGAAGTTTGCATCACATGAAACAAATCAACTTCACATGACAGGTCACTTCATATTTGGAGAGAGTCCAGTAGTTTTCTCTCTTCTGAGTCCTGGAAGGTTTAATCAATACTTCTCCACTTGCCCTGTTTTTGAGTTCTCTTCATCATTTTGCTCTTCCCTGATAGAATGCCATCTTGATTGAGGTCTTCTTCAAATGCTGAACACAGCACTTCAGAGGTGGTCTGACCAGTAAAGAGAATAACTGGATCACTATTGGCTGCCTCTACAAAACAGTTCTACCAGGCATCGGGGCACATTACCTTATGAGGAAGCGGGAATGGCAGAGGAGAGCCACAACAAACACATTCACTCATACTATCGTTGCATTGTTGGCTTTTAGTCTAGAACTCTTTGCAGATAAACCACATAGTTCTTTAGGTTAGTTTTTCTTCGTATCTTCCTATCTTTTCAATCGAGTTAGGGAATCTTCGGGCTTTCTGTTTTTGAAGGAGGTCTTCTGACCCAAGGACCGACTTGCAGAGATCACTCTGAGGGAACTAAGCTGAGAATCCAGAAAGCTTATGGAAAACAGGCCTTGACACCAGAGAACCATGTATACTTCCAGTAGCCAGAGAGCTTTGGCTGAAGACGACGATAGCAACTACCTGTTTCTTCATTCAAATTGCTCTCTTTTCCTTCACCTTTAATAGGAATTATTTCCTCCACATATTTACCTTATGGAGAAGGGCGGCAGCCTGAAGTAAATGCAGGGGAAAAACTCACAGAGAGGTCGAGATGGCAGGCCTGGCCCGGCGCGAGCAACCAGGGTAAAGCACACCGTTCAGGGCCGCTCCCGCCTGGGCCTAGCGACTCATCCTCGCCGCCGCCGGGACCTTGCGCATCTGCTCCTCCGAGCCCAGCCGACTAGAGGCTGGAGGCGGGAGGCGGGGCGACGCGCGCACGCGGGCGGGGCGGAGGGCCAGGAGTCGACGAGTCGACGTGCCGACGTTGGCGCTGCAGCGGGGCGGTGACGTGTAGGCCGGCGCCCGCTCCACTCTGTCCCCCCTCGCCGGGTCCGTGGGTCTGTCTGTCTGGCTGATGGTCCTCGCACGCAGTTCCCTGTGACTGGGCGCGACCCCGGCAAGCGCGGCGTGGAGGGCTGACAGGGCGCGGCGGTACAGCTGCCCGCCCGCATCTTTGGCCCTGCCCTCAGCACCTCACCCGGCGTGGGAAGTTAAAGTAAAACCGAAAGGGAAGGAGGCGCGGTGGCAGGAGCTGACAGAGTGAAGGGAAACGCGTGAGCCGGGCCGAGAGGTGAGGAGGTGGAGGTGGGAGGACGAGAAGGGTCGCCGCGGCCAGGGGAGCTGACTGGAGGTGGGGACGGCGGGGCGGGCTACGCGACCCGCCGAGAGATTCTCTTCCTACCTCGGGGCAAGTCCAGACCTGTCATCCTTTTCGGTGGTTTGAGGTCGAGTCCGGGGTCTCGCAACAATACCGCCCATTCCTAGAGTTTGTAGGTGGGGTAGGGGATAGAAAACTTAACCTAAGCCACGTATTGTCTAGGTATTAAGCCACAACGTGACCAGATGAGGTGTTTTATCCTGTCCCATGCATGGGTAATTTGTTTTCTTTCTTTTTTTCTGTTACAAAGCCTTGGTAACTAAGTTTTTTTTCACGTAGATTTTGAGAAAGAAATCTTCCTCGTATTTTTCCTCCAACACACTGAAAAGTAAATAGGTAGCTGACCGTGGTGGATTGTGGGTGAATTTCGCAATCAAGGAGCCTAGAATGTCATTTTGAAATAAATAAATGTGTATGTGGGTGCTAGGGAGGTTTTGTGAGTAATGGGCAGTTATTTCAAATAGGTTTCTTATCATAAATTATCCTTGGAATGCAGTGTGCTAATGGTATTTGCTATTCTTTGGTTTAAAAGAAGCATAATTCTAGGGTTTGGTAAAAGTTAGATTTGTTGTCACTTGTGCATTCAAACTCATAGTTACGTTTTCTTTCTTTCCCTAAGTTAGGTTAGACTGATAGCCATTTTCTCCTCACCAGATTTTATGTTTCATAGATTGAAATCCTTTTTCTGATTCTCAGAGTTCTCAAAAGTTGAGAATTCAGCTTTTGGTTTTACCATGGATCGTGGTCCAGTTTTTGTCGTCTCTTTTGTTTAATGATGGTTATAATAGTTTTGCATGAGAAAAATGATCCTTAAAGATGCTGTTAAGCTTAGGCTAAATAATCTTACTTATATGAGTAAATTAATTTTTCATGGGTTCAGCTTTCTTGATCCCTCCTTAACAGTTTTTTGTCATTCATTCATTCATTCAAGTCTTCCTATGTGTCAAACGCTGGGCCAGACCTAGGAGAGCAAGAGAGAGACAATCTCTGTGCTCATGAACTTTCTATAATCCAGCAGCCTCCTTAAAGAGAGAATCTTGACTAGGGTTCTTTCTCATACCATGGATGTGTAGTTGACCAAACCAAAGCTTTTAAAAGAAAAAGTTATTGTCAATGTATATATATAACTGGCATTGAAAGAGGAGCAGATGATCTTGCTTTAACAGCATGATTTGATATTGCCTTTGATCAAAAAGATAGTATATGTACCAGTGGTTTGCCAGTTCAGAAGAGTAAGTTTTTCTTTTGCACAGCTGGTTTAAATATAAAGTTCACAGTTCTACCTCAGTTTCTACCTCAAAATAAATAAATAAAAAGCTTTTTCTTTTGAGATAGAAATCAGTTGCTTTCCAGTCTTCACATTGGTCTGATTGATCTCCTGTGTATCTCTGGAACGCCTGGGCTCAAGCAATCTCCCTGTATCGGCCTCCCAAAGTGCTGGGATTACAGGCCCCATTTTGCCTTTTTGTGTGCTAATAAATTGACTAAGAATTTTGTCTTTGCTAGTTGGCTGCCCCTAGTAGCTTCAGGATGGGAGCTGGTTACCAGAGAGAACAAGGAATTATTAGAAGGTTGGGACTTTCATCCCTACCCCCTAACTGCTTAGGGAGGTGAGAGAGGGGCTGAAGATTAAGTTGATCACCAGTGGCCAAAGGGTTTAATCAATTATGCCTATGTAGTGAAGCCTCCATAAAAACTCAAAATGGCAGGGTTCAGAGAGCTTCTGAAAGCTGAACATGTGGAGAGTCCTTGAGGTGGTATGCCTAGGAAGTACTTGGAAGTTCTGCATGGAAATTCCCTTCCCATATAAATTACCCTATCCTATGTATCTCTTCATCTGTATCCTTTGTAATATCCTTTATAATAAGTTGGTAAATGTGTTTCCCTGAGTTCTGTGAACCACTCTAGCAAATTAACCGAACCCAAGGAGAGGGTCATGTAATCCCCAATTTATAGCTGGCCAGTCAGAAGTACAGATAAAAAAGTCTGGAACTTGTAATTGGCATCAGAAGTGGTGGGCAGTCTTGTGGGACTGGGCCTTCATTCTGTGGGATATGACAGTATCTCTAGATAGTGTCAGAAATGAATTAGAGAACACCTATCTAATGTCTGCTGCAGAAATGATTGCTTGCTTGGTGCGTAGGGAGAAACTCATACACATTTTGCCACAGACATCTTCTGTGTTGATAATTGTGGTGTGAGAGCAGAGGAAAAACAATTTGAGTTTTTTCCACTCTCACAAGAGGGCAGGTGTAAATTCCTTGAGTCTGCCTTCCAGAGGCTTATGGATTAGGGTGGAATGAGAATTTGTCTTTCAGACATAATCTGTGCTAGGCCCTTTTCCACTGGACCTTTTCTTTTGTGCGAAGAGTTGTAATATATACTGCCTAATATGTGCTGGGTCTGTTCCATGTTTTCTTGAGAGTAATGGGTGTGCTTGTTTCATCTTTGTGGGATGTTCTGGAATTTTTGACTATGCTTGCCTTATCTGGTGCTAAAATATTTTTTTGTTTTCCCAGGGACATTTAAAGGAAAAGCCTTCCTTATCCTGTGCTAAAAGTAAAATTAGCACAACTTTGGGGGGAATATTCTGAATATAAAGGCTAATCTGCTTTATAGTTATAAGCCTGTCCAGGATTTTTTTCCCCCCACCTTTGGGTGGGAAACCTAGTTAGAGGATAAGTTAGAGAATAAGAGCCCCATTTTGCTTTAAATTTTGTTTTTAACTAGTTTATATTTTGTATTGTGTGAAAAGTGTTTATGTATTTTATTATTTTTGTCATGCTTTCTCTATTCTACGTGCTTCAGATGTGTTTCCTAACTTGATTGGGAACTATTCAAGAGCAATTGCTTCTTGCTTAAGAATGAGTTAGCATCTAAAGTGAACTTGTTAGGTGGAAACTGTGAATAGCTAAGATTACCTTTGAGAATCCCTTAAGAGGACATCAGGTTGGCATAACATGCTGTCTCTCAGCACGTCCTACACAGCTGTGTTTTTCATCCTGACTTGGAATGTATCACAGTTTCTTTAGATGAACTCCCAGTGAAAAAGTTGGTCTGTGTTTGGTCACCACCTTGTATGTTTTTTTAAAAAAGAGAAAAAGTATTAAAAACTAGAGTCATGCAATGCAGCAAGATGCTCACATTTTGAGATGCATGTGGTGATTAAAACAGACTGAAAGAGCAAGATTCTTGTTGCCCATCCGCCGTTCACTCTAGAGCAGGTATTCAATACCTGAAATGTAAGCAGAATCTCTAGTAATTATTGTTTTTGTCTGACTCTACCTTCCTTTTTTTGGCCTACAGTGTTTGGTAGATTAAAGAAAGTAAAATGTGCTTAGACTCTGCTGTATGAACCAATTGATGGTAATAAGGTTTAATACAAGTAAGAGATAAAAGGTTAAAATTATCTTTAGGATTTACCATGAAAAATCAACCCCTTTTGAAATGGCATAATGGAGGATTGTATATATGTGTCGATGGTGGCTATTTTCTGAGTTCTGATCTTGCTAATATTAACAATATCACAACTCAATTTTTTAAAAACGCACAATAAAATATGAATATTCTTATTCACTGTTTATTTAATCTTTATTCACTGTTCATTTTTCAAGGTGTCGGTTTGTGGGTACAAGATTGTATTTTAAGTATTGAAATCTTAAATTCTAATTTTACTCCATTTACAACCTGCTCCTTCATGTCAGTGGTTTTATCCCTTAATCTGCACTGTATCACTTTGACTATTTTTGTCCCTTTAATAATTCCCTAGTATCCATAATTGTCAGTAACTAATTGTTGACTGAACTTATTAGGAAATATAGTTTGACTGTTTTGGAGATTTTCTCATTTGTTTATAATGAAAAAATACAGTAACTGTATTTTCCTAAAGTTGCTATCAAGCAATTAGACCATTTAGAGTTAAGAAACACAGGTTTGGTTTAAGAAGAATAAATGTTACAATTTTTATATGTAGTACTTCAGAATAGTGTGTATTGGGATTCTAGCTCACTAATTATTGGTTAATATCATCTCGCAAAAGGAAATATGCTACCATTAGATTAGTTTTCTCCTTATTTGGAATGTAAAAAAGGGCAGTTACATTTTCAAGACTTTCTTTTTATCTGTACTTTCGTTTAATTAACAATTTAAAGATTTGTTCAGATAGCCACAGCCAGTACTTCTAACAAAAATAGGCTTTTAGGGTTTCAATCCTTTAGAAATTATATTTGTTCTGGGGCATTAAGTATTTATTATTAACAGAATTTTTCATTTATGTATTTATCATTTAGTGGACCATATTAAATGTGGAGTAAAAATTAGTAAGGTAAAAATTGATATGCAGGCCAGTTTTTCTTAATACTTATTCACTGTGATCTTACCAGAAATTTTAACTATGAATGTTATGATTTGTCTTTAAGACCTCCTAGTTGAACATCTTTTCCTTTCATCTAGGCCTAAAGTTAAGCACTTAACAACCCTCATCATTTAGGCTTCATTGTCCCACAACCC